GCATCGTGTGCTGGGTACGCTCCGGAAACTCATCGGATGGCATCTCCTCCATGATCAAGGGTTAGTGATGAGAAGGGCTTCGACCTACTTTCAAATCTAATCGCTGTTAGCTTCATGATGACGATGATGGGAGAATTTGTTACGAGATGAAGACTATATAGACCGTGAAAGCGATTGAGAATCCTCATCGAAGTTAGGTTGAAGGTGTTACTCAATCTCATCTCTACAGGTCCTGTAGATTATATAGTGAGAGCTGGAGGTTCATGGGGGATACCACTGTCAGGTGTTGAGAATAGTCCCCCACTAGATACTGCTTCTTATGATAGTTGGATGTATTTTTGATTGTCTTCGCTCAACAAATTCCGGCACAGCGGGATGTCAGTCAAAAGAATCCAACGCAAGCTCTTCTCACTAAGGCCTTTGATAGAAATTTTACAAATATACCCCAGGATAAGGCCTGTATCTCACATGTTGAGGACTGTCCCATTGTCGGGTTAGATGGAAATCCACATACTTGAAATTATTGTATTTATAAACATTTAACGCCAAAAGGTCACACAGGATAATCCCGACCTCTAAGAACGTTTGGTGTGCCTACACGGCCTATTGTCAAGTAATATCTAATTCAACCTTCACAGGTAACATAGTATCATGTCGCTACTTGCTGCCGCCAAGCCTATTACTTTCGCGCCCCGAAAATTCCGCGACTGTTCTCACTTTTTTTTTAAATTGAGCAACAATCAATCAATAATACGTAGCGGAAATTAGATAGGAGAAGTAAGAAAATCAAATCGAAAAAATCAAAGCAACTTTCTCACGTAATTTTTGGCCAACCATCTGTATGGCTTAACTTTCTTGCACCGGTATCCCAAGGCTCGAGCACCACTAGTTGTTCTAAATTTCAATTTAACCACATCCTTCATACCACGGCAGAGTCTTTGACGAGGTTCTTGAGATCCTGCTCGATTACTGCGGACAAAAGGTTGTTCTGGAGTATTCTCTCCGCTGCGTTCGCAAAGCAGTTCTGCATCTTTGTGACTGAATCGACGGTATTAGGTTGCATAGTTACCATGAGCTGATCATGCTTCCAAAAGCAGGCCAAGTGTTCTCCTAGAACGAAAACCTAGTTCCTGATGTGTTTCTGATTAGTCTTTACCAAATATCTTTTGATGCTTATAAGTGCATTCCTTGGTCACACATAAAAATTATTGATTTCCAACAGCCAATAATTTTTCTCTTCACCGCCGATTTGCCAGGATAGTACAGAAAATAATGTGATGTAGATAAAGGCCGCTGCGCTACAAACTTATTGCCTTGTATTGCCTGCATGTAAATCCCCGGTTTCTAAACATGCATACATGTATGTGGCTACCAACTGCTTCTCCAAATCGCTGCACGGCATTTTTAAAGTCTAATGAGACCTTGTGACATTTATATTTAGGTCGCGATCTTCGCCCACTATCAGCACGAGCGAGCTAGCAGTATCAAACTTAACGCCCACGTGTGTCTACCACAGATGGTCAGTTTATTTGCATGAATGAATGAAGGTTTATTCGTGATGGGCACGAGCCCTACACTCAAAGAGCATGACACGGAGAAGGCGAGTCCTTCCCCGACGACTATATACTACAATAACTCAGTTTGACATTTGGACTACTCATGTAGTGGGTGCATTCGCTGATACTACTCAAGACATTGGTGCTAGGGACTTTCACCCTTCCCTCAACCGTTGATATCCACGAAAGGGAAAACAGGGAAAACAGGAAAAACCTTTGGCTACCCCAACATGCCTTTGTCATCTTATATATAGCCGCCGCGCGAGATATGGCCTCACAGTCCTCTCTTTCTCGAGTGAGGTAGGTTTCCAGGCTACCCAAACTTTAATTCGGGGAGATGACGACCAGGAGGCGGACCAAAACATCTTCCATCGTTGCCTATTTTAGAGTTTCGGTTGTACTATTCGAAATCGTTGCCTCTGCGCCCACAAACACCCTTAAGTCGAAAACACTCGAAAAATATGCGTCCCAGCATGCCCATTTGTGACCTCTTCACTCGTTCGTCCCACGTCCCAGCTGTCTATCCTCCCTCAAGATGTGAAGCCCCATTAGAGCAATAGTCCCCCATAGACCAAGACCTGAGCTTTGTGGATTATGACTTAATTTCCTCCTCGCGGATACACATAGCATCGTAAATGTGTAGTGGGAGATGGCCAGTTTTTGATGAGGCAAATGCCCGATTGCAATTGGAGCAACACCATTATCAGTTTTTGAGGCGAGGTGGTGTGGTAAGATTGAGACGGAGGTTTCGCGTGAGAATGATAGGTCGGACATTGACGTCGATTCGTCGATTTTAGATGTGCTTGTGAGTGCTTTCGACTTCGATTTGGATGCGATTCTTCTTGGCTATCCCAGATATGCATGGCATACTGAGCGATTATAGCGGCACTACTGGAAGGTGAAGAATTCGTCTTTGCCGGCAGTTTTTTTATTCTTTTTTTTATCATTTACGTGTATTCAGCTATGGAGCTATGACACATGACCGGTGCTATGTATACATGTTGGATGACTCATTTGACGTTAGAGACACTCATACTCTGGATTTCATTCGCAAATACCACTATGAATTTTGTTCGCTTACACAAACAGTCGACCCTCCTCCGTTAGTACCCACTAGAGGGAATTTCAAAACCTTTGGTTATCCAAGCATACCTTCATCATCCATGTACACCAGCACCGCGAGAGATGTGGTTGTGTTTTGCCGGATTTAAACCGGCGATCTACTGTCTCGAGTGGGATATGTGTCCAAGCTATCCAGACTCTACTTGGCAGACCAACCAAGACGATGTACCACCGCACCATCCAACCATGGCGATGTTTATAGTGTCATCTGCGCTCTCGCAACCGAAGGCTTGGCACGCACAAAGCTCAATTTTTAAAAACTCCTTGCCAAAACTCAAAATCCTACGCCCGTGGAGACTGTATCCATCCTTTGCATCATCTTGTTAACTAGTCCTGAATCCTCTCACGTCCATCCCAAAGAGCTATCTCCCAGATTTGTGCTCTACGCTTTGCCTCCTCCGTCGGGTATAAATATCGGCGCGGGCGTGTATTTGGTGGTCAACTGAGACCAGAGAAGGTCGAAGAGAGGTGTGATCATTGGAATAAGGATGTACTAGGTCATACTCGTAAACTTGATGAGGCTTAGGCAGGATTCGATCTTTTTTGGAATGAAAATTTGACGTGGTTAAGTATTTTGAATCATTGCCTCGTCGGCCAACTTGTTCGGTATTGCGAAATTTGACTGAACTTGGCTCTGGGAGAATATTTCACTCCCAGGTTTGTAGAGGACACCGCGTACAGGTGTTCAGTCTTGCCCTCCGCCGGCAGTTTATTTGCATATGTAGGGTAAAGAGATATTATTACTTTGAGAGCTTTGACTGGATTGGCAATTTTTCATTCAATTTAGGCCTCGAGTACAAGGCGTGCACTTATTCAAACTCCACTCCTGTCAAATAGCCTACAAGATTCAAGTATTTATTATATCCCTTAGATTTCAACGATTTGAGCTCCAGAGGAAAGTGCACCAAAAATATACTATCTTCTATGAACACGCAACTTCAGTAATCGAATTTTTATCTAACCCTAAACTGTGGACTATTCGCTCGGATATTTCTGTTAGGACTTACTGAGACAAAGCATTAGAATAGTCGACAAGGTTAGATATTGTGTAAAAATAAGCTAATAAATTTTAATAATCTTGATCAGAGTGAGGGTTTGAAAGAGGAATTTAACGCAAGAGTACAATATTTGTCAGTGTTGCAAAGCACCAGGTTCCTATTTATATGTTAGGACTCTGGTCTTCATCTTTAGATAGAGATTAACTAATATAGCAATTTGACCGATATATAGACTGAGAGTCAGCGCGTTCTCTGGGCTCCAAGTAGAAATATAGGTCATAGATGGAAGTTTACATGATATATTTAACTATTCGTCGGAATATTTGGCCAGGAATTATCATCTGACTTGAGCTATAGGCTTTGAAATTGATCATAAATACTGAATTTTTATTGTTAAAACCTCACTCAAACAATCACTTTTTCCTTGATCGGAGAGACATGAATGTTTACAACCACGTCTTTATTATCAAGTATATTGAGCATTTTAGCACCAAATTCAATATTCTTATGTCATGTGCCATACATGAGCCGAAGTCTGTAAGATTGTGTATTAATTTCTTCAAATTTATTGTCCCTGCTATATAATATAACAATGGTACTAAAAATCTGCAATTGAGGAATGAACTCCGCTCGTATTTATTTCGATTAATCCCATTCTACCGTATTTGAGCTGATGTGCGGAATCTCATGTTTTGCCACCACAGATTTAAAATTTGCAGCAAGCCTTAGCGTGAAATGCTGTCTGGACTTATTCGAAAGACACAGTTATTCTGCACATTTATCTTCTATTTACGGATAGTTAATTAGTAACTAAGTTTTAGTGGCAGGTCTACAAATACTCAATCGGTGCCTGTACCTCTAAAACCACTCAGGTATTAGCTCCTGCACTTCTTGTGGGTTAATTGTCCTCAGATTCTTTTAATATTTAAGTAACCCTGTCATAGCTATCCTGCTATATTGCTTGGTCAAAGTTCTTTGTGGTCTATGAGGAATAAAAGTGAGAAGCTCATAAGTAAAATGAAGATAATTTTACCATCATTGTAAGCGCAATACTCTTAAGTTGTTCTGCTCGCACGATTTACTCCAAAATCGATTAACCCATGAAGTCGTTAGAGCCAAAGCCCTTTAGATTTCTAACTAACCCACTATCGGGTTTGGATGAGCTTCTGTAAGATTTTTTCTGTAATCTGGAGGTTATTAATAGCGTTGTTCAGATAAGTGTCGAGTTATCAGGGTTTCGAGTGTACTGAGGCATGGAATCTTTATTACTTAAATCATCGCTCGGAGTTGCCAGTTTTACTTGTAAACTTCAGGGAAGTTTATCTCAATAAAATCGTAACCTTATGATTGAAAATAGCATATTTTGTAAGACATGCACCATAACTACGACTACAGTAGGGAGTAGCTCGGCCCATGTGGCAAGGTCTTGTACTGCTTCTTCCGTGACATTGATGTGCCATCCAAACCATACGATTCTACGGACAATCCAAGCGGCTACTATCTCACAGGCAAATGTAACTATTGAGGCGTAAAATGTGAGACTGAAGTCATAGTCATCTCCGCTACTGTTCGGAGAATAGTTGCTGACTCCCAATGATGAGGAATTCTGATTCATAGCCCGGTCAAAGGTAAAGTATGGATAAACATCCTGGTTGGGTCCGTAGTGTAGTACCAATATTGAGCCCAAAAAAGCCATCATAGAAACAGATTCAGCTAATGAACGGATATATATATTTCGTGTGCAAAATTTCTGATATTGTTCTAAGCTCTGATTATTCATGAAAAGCAGAGTGAGAACACGGTGAAATTTTTTCCACATGAATAAAGGAGTTAAAATAATAAAAGATGATGAAGAAAGTACTTGGAGCACAAGAAACTGGCCGGGTGATCGAAGTCGGGCGTAAAGAGCACGAACATAGGTCTGATAAGTAAGAGAGAAATATCTCGAAAAATAATTAGCCAATACACATGAAGGAGAATTTTGTCTTACAGTTTGAATGTCCATCCTAGTGGATAGCTCCCTACTCTCTCCCCATTATTACCTCCAAGTATCCAACCGACAATCCCATCTAAGAGATGAACTGTTATAACCCATGTGTAGACATAAATAATGGTTTGATAAGTTGAGTGAGGCAAGGTGTTAAGGTAGCTTTCGGCATACGCCTCACCCATGACATACGCGAGCATCGCAATAAAGAGGGCGCTACAAAACCAGATGAACCTTTGGAAGCTTGCGGGAAGCCATTTCTTTCGCAGTGATAGATTATGATTATGCACCAGTATACTAGAATCGTTGAAAACTACTGTTTGATTTGGATGAGATTCAGGATGAAAAATGCCGGGGTTCAGAATATTGTAGCGATTGCTGGCTCGTCTAGATATTGAATCAATTTCATCAGTCCACCAGGAATTAGAAAAGATTCGCTGAGTTTCGGAAAGGGGATTCCGAAGACCCGAGTAACGCTCCTGGTTGATAAGACTTGTGATGGCAAGTATGAGCGGTATTGACATATTAAAAAAGGTCCAACAAATCCAAGCTGTATTATGAATTGTGATATGATGTAATCCTGGAATGTAATATGCCGGAATCGGGAATATTACTGAGAATACGGCTATAGCAGTGATTGTAAGAGGTAATCCAACACGTTCAGGCCACCTTAATTTTGTCAGCTTATGCCATCAATATGATATGGACTTTCCCACCAGTTTAAATTATACATATTGAAGACCTTTGTTATCCATACAAGTGCCGTAAGGTTATAGAGGCCATAGTATGCAAATAAAAATAACCAGAAATTAATTTCTACTCTTGCTGTACCGTAGCCAGTTTTCTTTTGTATGCAAGAGTTATTTTCGGACAGTAATAAGCCCATAACATCTTCCGTGATATCATACTGAGGGAGGGGAATAGCGCACCATGCTACAGGCTGCTTGGTATTAGTGAATATAAATTTCACAATTAGCTCGACAACATACGAGGGCAGAAGGCAGTACAATCAAAGCTGCCCATCGGGACCACCACTTATCTAATAAATTTTTTACGGATTCTTGCTTTGGGACGACCCATATATCTCTCATTAGACTTGTTAGTCTATTGGGCGTTTTAAAGCTACCGGCATCTGATATATCTTCTCTGATAACCTCGATATTTTGAGCCACATAATTGACACCATGACTACGGAGCAAATTCTCGGGGAGTAGATCATCTGCAAGTACTCTATTACTATGGCTGCTTGGCCGTGATATTTGAGCGTTTGGAGGAGGGTGAGCGCGAAATCGTCCTAGGAGCGGAGTACCATCATTCGCGGCCCCACCGGTTTCGGTTCCTTGTTGGAAATTAAAGAAGAACGGCATGCCGCTACCTGAACTCGAGTCTCAGCAGTGACTGCACACATCTGGGGGGCATTGGCGTGTTGTAAGGCCATCGTGCAGCCCAAATAGAATGCCACATATGCCGGTAGCAGAGCCCGGAATAACTAATCCATTATATTGGCTACTGGCATTCAATTTCGGATTGTCGGAAAGATCTTCGCAGATCAGCCGAGACCGTTTCATACACGGAGAGAGAGACAATTTAAAATAGGCGTGGTATCAACCTCTACTCTACATAAAAGTGCATTCGAGAGCTCTAGATTTTTTTCATCTTTCTGGCCACTGGGCACTGAAAATTGTTGTTAATGTTGACTCTTTGATGATCATAGACGATGAATGCTGGCATGGTTGCTGCATGGAAGGTTTTAAACACAAACACGTCTAGCTCTGATAGGGCACTAGCTTCGGAATGCGGATGGGATAAATCGATTTGTCTAAATTTGAAATAGCGGGCCACTGATAAATCAATATAGTCTAAACCTAGATCGTAGCTACAGTCTCTATAGCCAGTTCTGATAAGCACCATATCATTTCACACAGATCCAATCTTTGGAACAATTGGATATCAACTTGCAGCGTCAGCTTCAATTTACGCTCGTCATTTTTTTTAAAAATTACGACAGTGATCAAAACCCTTCCTCATTTGTAATTTATCTTATTTCAAAAAGCGTAAAGTGGATGAGCATGTTATATTGAACCCTCCATGCCGCTAAGTCCTTCGTGCCGCATGTATACTATGGCGGAACTATCACGAGCCTTCCAAGACCTTGTCTGAGTGCGATTATCCGGTTTTGCTTGTCCTTTTTCAGGTAAGCAGAGCGCAATTAGAAATTTCAAGCCGGGAATTGATGTATGTCATTAAATATCTCAGCACGAACATCCAGTAGAGAAACTGGAATCTGTTACTTGAATTCGATTTAAATGTTTATTGATGGGTTAATGAATATGACATTCAAAATTAGATTATCGCTGCACGTCAATTTCGATAACTTTTGTTGGAGCCAAAATTTACAACATGCATCTGATGTATCATGATAGAAGCTTTCGCATAGCTTGGTTGCATTCGGATTTCAGTTGCTCAACCATATGAGGAATCCTCACACCTTGTAGAACGCGCAACTCCTAGAGTTTTAAACCTAATCTTACCCACAAAGGATGTTTAAACTGTTGCATCAGTAACTATCCCTGCAGGTACTAATCCCAAACGGCACAAACATATCATGGCATGTAATATGAAATCATCAATGGATACTGGCGCCATTAATAATTACGATAATTGCAATAGGCCACACGTTACATGAATCGCTTTACCAGCACCACCAACATCGATCATTTTTTCTTGAAGTTTGCTGGAGCTAATTTAGCTCTTAATCGTCTCTTACGAACACGGAGTGTTGTGTGGGACGAGAGGAAAGTATTGGAAAATCTCTGTAGACTCAATTTATCTCGCATGTCGAGCATATCAATCAGAGGCTGGCGAAGTCTCTACTCGACGTCGCTTGAGACTAAAAAACGAGTTTTGATACATTCCTGCGTATGCACCAACTCACCTCTACAGTAAGCAGCCTGAACACCTTGTGAAATGGCCCGATGAAGCCCCTATTTAACCTGATTAAGCTATCAGGTATGTGCGTTGTCCTTCAAATCTTGTATGTGGTTGGATTAAGTCTGGTGCAGAAATCATCGAGAGAACTCTAATAAGACTGGTGATGACCCTTTCTTTGAGGTAAGGTTGTCCACAATCGGGTAAATGAGCATACTTATGTATAAATTTAGAATAAATCAAGCTAAAATCCGCTTATTGGGTAATTTCGTACATACGTGCTACCTGACAGTTGAAGTAAGTCTCTGATAGCCGACGTTATTTAGCGACATAGAAAATTAATTAGTAATATTCCCTTTTCTACGCAGTTGCAGGGGCAGAAGTTAATTGTGTATCAAATAAGCTTTGACATGTGTAAACAGTAGAGGGAGTAAAGCGGTAATGGTCACTCACAGCCCGTTTAGGACGGACAAGTTTAACCTCCGCCGCCGAAGTATAAAAATAGGTATGGGCAAAATGAAAAGATTAGTCAGTCGATTGTTGCCTTAAGATGACTTCAGATTGGTCGATTAAGTAGTTCTGTGTGAATCGTAAACTTAGGTGTGCCATAGATGCAAGGAAAAAACTATCTTTTATCGCAGGGCACGGAACTTCTTTCTATACGCGCGTGGCACACAACAAAGGTTCACGCAGTTTTCCCCTCCATGAATGTGCTAATTCTGTGCATAACTGGGGTCTGCACCGATGGGTCTAGCCCGTTGCCCCAAGGCCTGCTAACCTTGTGCGAAAATTACATACTGTGATGCCATTGTGAGTCTTGTTTCATAGCTACGGGCTGGAGAAAAAATGAGTTGATCCATAATTACGTGGCTACCATCCCAGTATGAGACATATTACTGTGGCTAGTTACCCCTCTCTTTCCCTGTGTAATCAGCTATCTTATGCCTCTCTCCTGCTCCTTTTCCCCTCACCCCTCCCATTTGATGCTGCTTGCTATCCCTCCATCTGGCTATCATCGCCCCGACCAACGTATAGAGGGACTAGGTAACAATGAAGGGCCCCATTAGATAAGCGTTTATATGGGTACAGGTTTGGTACTTTGGCGTTCTATCACTTGTCCCAATAGAAATGACCCTCATGGAGGACAGCTGTAAAATTATATGGCCACGGTCACTCCTGCTCATCTCGTTTATTTGTTCAGATACTGACAACATCTAATTCAGACGAGGCTAGCCATTTCAAATGGAACTGGTTGGTTTTGTTCTTTTACGAGCTCGAGGCCTGCCTGTGGGGTCGTTAATATTGCCTTTCCTTGTGTGCCATTATGCCCTAGGCCTGCCTGTACTAGGATATCAACAGAGCTGCCGGCAGGGACGGGCTGAGGGGTCTAATGCACTTTCTCTATTTGGGTGGGTGGATGGTGGATATCATCCATCTCGCATGCAAACTCGTCTTCCCGACCTGTCCTTCGACCACTTCGCACATCATCGCCATCCGTTAGACCGCCTACCAAGGCTCTATCCAGATCCCGGGAGCTGAAGCCACTCTCCCATCTTGGCTTAGTCTACTCTACAGAATTAATAATCTTAGTGGACCTGTCAGACCCCTTTATAAAATTTTGGTGTTATGCATCTGGCGAATCAGCCAGCCCCCGGTTTGCCCATCCGGTGTTAAATCATTTCAAGTACAGATTTTGGAGAGTTAAGAGACATTCCATCCCTTCTTTTCCTCACTATGACTGACCCTTTCAATCCTAATTTAAATTCTGCCTCGCTCGTTACAAGAGATGATGATGCCGCGAGACCACAGTCCCAGTCCACCTCCTCTGCCGCCAGTGCCGCCGAACTCGCCAGTACGAAAGCAACTCTGAAAGCTGCACTGCGTCAGTATCCAAATTTTCCTATACCAGGCATCGACTTTATTGATATCCTGCCACTATTCTCGGCTATCGACCTTCATGTGTCTCTAATCCGCGCACTTGAGCTTCAGGTCCTGGAATTTAACAATGGAAAAGCACCCGATGTAATAGTGGGCCTCGAAGCACGAGGCTTTCTTTTTGGACCAAGTTTGGCATTGCGACTCGGGTCAAGCTTTGCACCAGTGAGAAAACCGAATAAATTACCGGGCCCGACGGTAGAGGCTTTTTACGAGAAGGAATACGGAAGAGATTGCTTTCAGATGCAGATTGATTCCATTCAAAAAGGGCAATCAGTATTGATTGTTGATGATATTGTTGCCACTGGTAAGATCCTAATTTAGTTTACTAAGTGAACCCTGCCTCATTTGTATGCGTTAGGGGGCTCTGCGCTAGCCGCAAGGAAACTCGTCGAACAGCTGGGTGGCTGCTTTGTTGGATTCCTTTTCATCTTGGAGATTGAAGAATTGAAAGGCCGTCAAAAGCTCAACGCACCAGTCGTAACGCTCATTGAATTTCCGAAAAATTAAGCGTAAAAAATTTCATCAATGGCGTTTTTGGGGTTAGAAATGTAGTCAACAGCATCGGTACTTTCACTAGTGTCGCAGCCAAGTCCCAATATCCAGTACTTGGGTAGGAATCATTCCTACGGAAAGCTTTTAAATGATTCGTTATCAGTAAGGGGTAGTTAACAAAACTCATTAATGTCCGGGGTGCATCAGAGAGAGGAACGAATTATAATTTTATGCGGATGAAAATAGAAGCGTTGTCATGTTTTGCTTTGAATCTTCGATGATAGATATATAAAATAGTTTGGAAGTTTACAATGTTGTCGTATCAATCACGATCTTTGTCAGACCATGCGGAATAGATATCATGCTTGTTCCTTTACCGTGTCTCGGTCCAAAATTATACAGGCTATGTGGTCAGCCAAAAATATTACATGAAGTTCATACTTGTATCTTATTTTGCTCGGGAAAAGTATAGGAGGCCTCAGTGTTAGTCAGCGGTGATCTCTGAAACCTTTTGGCTGTCGCCTGTGAGTCTACCAAGGCAAGTCGAGTCTTAAAAGTCTTCTACTTTGAACTTATTTAATCCACCTGCCCACCAGAGATATACCACCCAGCATATACACAAAGTTCACGTCGGCAATTATGTCGATGAAGAGGAGGGATAGCTGGGCCAAAGCTTGTTAATGGTTTTTGGGAAGGTCCTCGTCATATCCCGCTATGTCCTACCTGCCGAGAGGCGCATAATCAGCCCACAAATGCAATGCAACAAAAATCGGCAAAAAAAGCAGAACGGAGAATCTTGTCTCTAAGTACAGTTGAACAACGCCAAGCAGAAGTTTATTCTCCTTTTTTTGGCGAGAAGTTTCACTTTGTTGCACGAGTTGCTTGAAACGCCAATTCTAATCGCATTCTTTTTGATAGGCTGGGCTATTTCGCTGATTGCTCTCGACCAAGAATCTTTTGATATCCTGCCATAACCTTCTATCTATCTTATGGCACATATCGAGAGAGCATTAAACAGGAGGTTAAGTGTGTAGAGAGCATACTATTGAGGCGTGCTTGATTCCGCAATGTCAACCTAGATTGCTGGGTCTTCCGAACGCTTCAAGGAGGTAGCTACTATATCGAATTCAGGCATAATGTCAGTCATACGGGCCCAACAGCTAACGCTTTTACAGTAATTTTCTGTCTGCCGTGTACTCCCATATTTGCGAATTTTGTTGGCTGGAGCCGGGAGAGTATAATGTCAAGGTATGATACGACTAGTCAAAGACTATGGATGGTCGTCACGACAAGTAGTTTCTCTCAGTCTGTTAGCAGACCTCTCCACGGACTGTCTCAGATGGAAAATAAAATATCTTATCTTATCGTATCGTATCTGCTCGCGTAATATGCAGCTATAACCATGAATACATCTTCAATATTGGCCGATCTACTGGAATTTTCACTAGTCTAAATCAGAAAAGATTCTGCATAAGCGATGCAGCCGCGACCAACTTCAGATGCGTGCTGAAATGCTTTATTTGTACGTTTACAATGTAGGTATAGACTGCGACGTTAATTACAGCCAGTCAGGTAATTCAGGAGGAGGCTGCTGTAGGGAAGTTGTTGAAGGCCTCATGGCATCGGATCACGACATCAATCCTTCAAATTTGCCAACGTTCAGTCGCGATGGCGAGTATTTTTGTTTTCTCTATACCCAGATGGAGTTAGTTTCCCTGCATACTTGGCTCAACTGGCAAGCGTTGTGCACTAGTTTTCGCGTCCCAAGGACATGTACGAGGCATGGGGAATGCCGGTTATTTACTGCCTTTACACCCCTGCATCACTTGTCATTGAGCCCTGAATAGGCCACTCGCCTACCTGCTCGTGCGATCCACTTAGCCCAATCATCCAATCATGATCTATATTTTCCCTACCTAGCACAACTTATGTACTCTAGTAATTCCAGAAACGCCCTCAAGACAATTTGAACCCTTGATCAAGGGCTAACCCGTAGATCGAAGACTTTGGAAGTGGACACTCCGAAGGGGCACAGACTCGAGCGTTCGATCGCAATGAATGGGAGGCAGGCGACACCTCGTTATTTTTTCCGATACTTTTTTCACCTTGCATCGGGAGCCACATCCTACTCCGCTATTAGCGCGACTTCTGCCTTCATTCCTTCGCAAGGGTGATGGACATTGTAATTGCATGACAAGGGGAGTTTTTATCATTAGACGAGGGTTGTGTCATTTTTTATAGTGCTAATTGAATCAACAGCTTTGTAACACCATGTTCGAAGCTCCTACTCTATTTTGACACGCAAAAAGGTCTCTAGTATGATGCCGGTGATAGATAGCCATTGAATTAGTAATCACCCTTGGAATTCATCTTCTTTTTCTCCGGAACTTACTCGATAAGAGCTCATTAGACGGTCTACAAAAGAATCTTAACAAACCCGTGCACCCTTTAGCACAAGTTAAGATATTGCAGTCTGATTAAGATTGTTTCTAAGAACGATCCTCGTCGATCTCATCATCCTGGACATTAGCCTCAGTATCGGGTTTAGAATTATAAACAAAGGAGTCAGCGGCCCGAAATATAGAGCCATTTTCCACGACCGAGATTCATGTGAGCTAAGAGTTGAGTTTGCATGAACACTTCACTACATAAATGACTGCTATGGGCCTCATTGCGCCTATCCGGGTACATGACCAGAGCTGAGCTAGAGTTATTCGGGCCGGAACAAGTGAGTCAAGCACGATCACCCTCCGTATCAAATTTCCATCTTTTTGAGCCGTATCTGTTACGGTACACAGTTTCCGCATTTCCATATTACCTCGGGACTAAAGTCGTGTCGAATATAAGTGTAGCCCAGAGTCAACGGTCAATAGATTTCGCCGCATCTTTCGATATCTCCAAGACCTCCTGGTCATACTTAGATCCGGCACCATCTACGCTTCGAAAATTATTCGCAAAACGTTAGCAGCAACATCCGACATGGAATTTCACAGGCTCTTGAGGAATAAGCTCTGCCTGACACAGTCTAGTGTCAAGATTTTTTTTGAATCATTCAACTTGTTTTCCGCTGTAGCTATGACAAAGGGCGTTCAGCTTTTGTGCCACACATTTTTGTACCCCAAGTTATGATGAGTCGTAAGCCTATTAGCTAGGGTAAAGATGTGAAGAACTACGGATTCGCAGGAACTATTTGGGCTGCGCTTAATTGCACAGATTTAATGGATTTAGTCTAACCCTGAAAGCTCCAACTTTGGGGTTAATCTCATGTTGTTATAGGACTTTTTTAGATTAAAAAATCCTCAAGAGGACGAAGACACAACAACTGCCAGCAGTACCCATTACAGATCTCCAGTTCTTTCCATAGAGTCTTTAAAGCCGAGACTAAATCTTATACTAGCTAGGAGAGCTTCCTTCGAAGAGTCTAGGGCTATATTGTGTATCCAAGGTGATATAAAGAAGTGAGACATGGCTTTCTATATAATCTAGCACCAACTCTGACTTCTCCTTTGGCATGAATGAGGCAAATACATGTTTTGAGGGCTAGGAAGCCGGAAAGTGGCTTTTCTAGTTACGTACGAGTCTGCAGAGTGTGGCTAGCCGGCCTCTCCGAATTTTTTAGCAGGGTAGTTGTGCCTTCAGGTTTAGACCTAATATCAGTAATAGGATAGCCCCACACTCAGTGCTTTTTATTTTATTTCTCCGATTATCATTCATCCACATATGACCTTCGTTTCGCTGGTACGAGCGAGATGATAGAAGGGCAAGACTGAACACCTGTACGCGGTGTCCTCTACGAACCTGGGAGTAAAATATTATCCCAGAGCCAAGTTCAGTCAAATTTCGCAATACCGAACAAGTTGGCCGACGAGGCAATGATTCAAAATACTTAACCACGTCAAATTTTCATTCCAAAAAAGATCGAATCCTACCTAAGCCTCATCAAGTTTACAAGTACGACCTAGTACATCCTTATTCCAATGATCACACCTCTCTTCGACCTTCTCTGGTCTCAGCTGACCACCAAATACACGCCCGCGCCGATATTTATACCCGACGGAGGAAGCAAAGCGTGGAGCACAAATCTGGGAGATAGCTCTTTGGGATGGAAGTAAGAGGGATAAGGACAAGTTCACGAGATTATGCAGAGAATGGATACAGTCTCGACGGGCGTGGAATTTTGAAATTTTGGTAATGAGTCTTAACAAATTGAGCTTTGTGCGCGTCAAGACTTCGCTTGCGAGAGTGTAGCTGACACTATAAAAGCAAGCAAACAATGTAAGAATTTGTGGTCCGCCTCCTGGTGGTGTTCTCTGGTATAGTTTGAGTAGCCAGGGCACCTATTCCACTTCGAAGGAGACACTATAGACCACATATCGCGCGAAGAAAAGTTGATGGATGATGGAGGCATGTCTAGATATCTCATGGTTTTTGAGACGGTTCCCTTGGGTGGGTATTCACGGATGAGGATTGACTTGGGATGAAGAAGAAGCCACCATAACTTCGCAGCGGTACTCGCAAATAAAATCCGAGGCATGAGTGCTGTTCTTGTAAATTGAGTCATCCATTATGTACCTTACTCTAATATTTTGTCATAGCTAGATAGCTGCATACGCAATTTAAAATCTGATGCAAAAAAAATACTAAAAAATATGTTATGGATAGGGATCCATAATAAGGATCACAGAATGCCTAACTACTGGGCAAGCTGCTCGACGCGGAATTATTCCGCTTGGTTTTGTTATTAATGCTGGCGCAGGAATTAAGTATAAGTAACAAATTAGTTGCAGTCTAGGATAGATCGTACAAAGTCTTATTAATATACTCCCAACCGTACTTCGACCTCACATCTCTCCGATCTGCTTCTGACTCCGTTCCAACGAGACTAATCCGTGATAAAATAGAGATAAGGCCTAACAACCACACCTATTCGTATCTTTGGCCTATAGGCAGAGAGGACCTGCATGTCCTACATAGTCATAGACTCAGAAAGGACAATGAAAAAAAAACTACACCTA